TGCTAGATGCACAGTGCCAGTGACATGAGCTGATCATCCTCAAAGTGAGGCTGGAATCCTCCCCTGCCATTAGTGAAAAAGGCGCCTTGCTCCCTAGCCACAGCTACCCCATCTCTCTGTTAGCCTCATGCTCCAATTGCCTCCTCTTGAACACCGCACAAAGACTGACACAGAGAGGCTAGCCGTGCAGTCCTCTTGAGCCAGAAAGAGTCTGCAAATGGTTTCTGTCTCCCCATGAGGGACTCCTTGAAAGGTTGATATGAAAGACGGCCCTTCTCTTTCTATAAAGCCTGTCAAAAAGCTGAGTCTAGATGTAGCGCTCTCTGCTGTTGGTGCCCTCCACACTCTGGTGGCCATGACAGCACTGGTAGCTTCCAAGAGACCCAAATGTAATTTTGGTGCCTGGTCCTTCATGTCCCTGATATACTATCTGTCTATGAGTCACTGTTTGATGGCTTGTGAAGAGAGGCTTCATTCCTCAATATCCTTGGGGCTGAGCTTTTTTCTTGGCATCCCTACTTCCATCATCCCTGTGGCCAAAGGAACACAACACAACCCATGTGTGAAAAAAATGAGGTCGAAGCATCTCATTTTAAGACTGTTCTAAAAAGGTGTCTATGCAGAAGTGATGGGCACCAAGAGACAATACTACAAGGGAAGCTGTGGCTGGTAGTGACAGTTTTGGTACTTTAATGTGTTGGCTTGACAACCACAAAATTAAAAGCTTCCAACTTCTATGTGTGTAACATCAACCTGTCCTCTAGCATCCAATAGCTTTTAGCACTGGACAGCTTTGGATTCTGAACATGTGAAACTAAACCACATTTTAAACTCTGTACTTGCTGTGAAATCTTTTCCCCCAGCCTTTCCCCTAGGCTGAGATAGCAGCTGGAAGGAACTAGCCATTGAATTCCCAACTGGCTTTCAGCATCAGATGCCCCTTTTTTCTCATATGAGAAGTGGCAGCACAGATCTGACCATCTGGTCACCTTTTCTCCCTCATGGGCATTTAGGTTGCCTGGTGAATCAGACCTATTTTATTTCCTAGGTTTAGTTGGTGCTGAGGAAACTGAAACAATTGTCAGCTCTGGCAAAAGCCAGAAAGAATAAAGTATATTTCCTCATTTCAGTTCTACGGTTGTATGTCAATACTGGCTTTAATACTCTCCCCACCACCACCTCCCCCAGCTATTCCTCTCTGGCTTCCGTTGCATAGCCTTGCCAGTCCTGCTGTGACCTCTGTTATTCCCATCTGGGTTCAATCCAGAGCAGATTTTTACTTGTCCTGTGTGTGGCTATTTCCTGATGGGTTGGATCAAATACCAAAAATATATGGTGCATATACTTTCAATTCCCACTCCTAATCATGGTGTTCTTATTGCCCCTCTGGGGGACTTCTTGAGACTTTATTTTAGCTCCTCCTCCACCCAAATTCTATCCTCCCATTTTTCTCCTTTACTCCTTCATGTCCTAAAAGGCCTCACATCATGTTGAGCCATCTTTTCAGGAGAGGGTGGCTATACACACATCCCTCTGAAGTTCAGTATCTCTACTGAGGCAGCCAGAGGGGTCACTGCAAAGCATCTCCATTTGGCCTCTTCCCCACTGTAGGGCCAAGTCCACTGACACGAGGGCACTTGAAGAAGATCCTATAAAGCAGTGTTTCTCAAACTGTGCTCTGCAGAGCTCCAGGGGCTCCGCGAGGTTGACAAACTGGAAACAACAATAGGTATGACACATACAATCAGTGGATCACTGGGGCTCCGCATAAATTTTTATGCATGTAAAGGGCTCTGGAGCCCAAAAAGTTTGAGAACTGCTGCTATAAGGGAATGACAGGATAACCCAAGAACACACGCTAGGTCGATCCAATTGTCCATCTAGCTCTGTATCCTGTTTTCTGACATCAGCTAATGCCAGATACTTCAAAGGAACTGAACACAACAGGTAATTGTCAAGGGATCCATCCTGTCATCTACTCCCCTCTTCTGGCAAACACAGGCTAGGCACGTTGCTGCCCGTCCTGGCTAATAACCATTGATGGACCTATCTTCCATGACCTTATCTAATTCTTTCTTGAATCCTGTGTTGGCCTTCACAGCATCCTCTGGCAAAGAGTTCCACAGGTTGACTGTGCTTTGTGTGAAGAAGTACTTCTTTCTGTTCTTTTTTAAACCTGCTGCCTGTTGATTTCATTGGGAGACACCCAACTCTTGTGTTATGTGATGGAGTCAGTAACATTTCCTTATGCACTTTGTTCATGCCAGCCAAGGTTTTATAGACCTCTGTTATACCCATACACCCCTTTCCAAGATGAAAAGTCTCTTTTTAATCTCTCCTCATATGGAAGCTGTTCTGTACCTCTAATCATTTGTGTTGCCTTTCTGTGTACTTTTTCCAATTCCAATACATCTGTTTGAGATGTGGTGACTAGATCTACATACAGTATTCAAGAGGTGAGTGTATCCTCAATTTTTTTATAGAGGCACTATGATATTTTCTGTCTTATTATCTATTACTTTCCTAACATTCACCCAACCAATCTTTCCTGGGAGTTTCACACACAGCAGCAGAAATGAGTCCACTGTGGCTTATCTTCACTTTTTACCTTGTCTCTGCAACACTGTCCAGGAGTTTGGGGATCAAAGAGAGAATACGGTGGTAATTTTGGACAATTGTAGATGTTAAAGACATTCCTAAGAAAGAGCTGGAACAGGTGGGAGTGACTTGCCCCAGCTGGGCAGCGGTTCTTCCTCTCAGTCAATTTGTGTGGATATCTCTGACTCCAAAGGGCCATCAACCAACTCTGCCAGGTCCAGAAGAAGGGAGCATCTGTTTGTTTACTGTGTGGTAATCAAAGCAGAAAATGATCTTGTTTTATTCTCCACTATGCACACATTCTAAAGCTGAGAATGAAGGGGAGTGGCGGGGGCAGAACATTCTTTTTACTGAGCTTCCTTCTATCCATCTGAGTATGAAGCAGATGTGAGACGTTAATGTGAGGAAGGAGACTGGAACAATTTGTGCTGTCTCGGGGGAACAATTAGTGGCCTAAACTTCAAATATTAAGTGCCAGGAGTCTCAAGTTCAGATCCTAGTGAGGCCAGCTCAGTCCTTGGAATTTTCACACTAGACGAATTGTTACCTCTATGATGGTCTTTGTCCAGTCTTATGGATACTAAAGCTCCCATGGCACTTCTTGTGAGACTAGGGTTTATTCCAGTGTCTTTAGGCAAATTTTCCATTTTTCTCCTTATTCCCACTCTGTGGTACATTGCCCTGTGTGCTCACTGCTGCCCTTCATCACAGATGAGGTGCATGTTGGTTGCGAAGTCTGTTCGGTTATTTCTGGAAGAAAGATGCTACTGAAATAATATCCTCACCAGCTGCATTTCTCCACAACGGAGTTTGTTTTAGGTAGTTAATACATGTAACTAGTTCCACTTCTTGGATTAAAATCTGGGCACATCAATCACAAATGAAACAAGTGTGGCAAGTTGCAAGCTCAGCCCATGGTGAGCATTCGTTTACCTCGCCACAAAACGGTGCCTTGTTCAGCAGAATAGCTCCAAAGACATAATAATCACTAGAATGTAGTTTAGGCCTGTGCCCAGTTTGTGTTAGGAAGTTTGCACAGTGTCTTTAGGCCTTGCTCTGCAGAAGCCAGCTAGATGGGCAATCACAACTGTAGAAGGACCCAGCGGGGCTGTTTTGAATATTGAAAGGACTATGACACACCGTGACAGTTGTGGCACATCTCTATGCTTTAGTGCTTCCCCAGGTCGGTCATGCAAGATGCTTGCTAGTTCCCAATGAGTACCCAGCCTTTATCAAACATGAAGCAACAGCAACAAGATAATAGCCTGTGATGAGGATGCTAGTAGCAGTGCACTGCAACACAATGCGATTGCCATAGGCAGATACTCAGAGCGGTAATATCCCAGGGGGATCATTCTCCTAGCTGAGTAGTCAGAAAGCAGCTAACAGGAGGGTATATTATTAAACATTCCCTTCTCTATCCATCTTCCTATACTTGCTGGTTTTTTGGTGGTTACTTTTCCTATTCTGTATTCTCCCTCCATACCCCTGTGTGTAAAGTTGCGCTCTTTTGCTACACTTGTTGAATGCCACATCCATGAAAACTAGCTGCTTTATAGCTTACACCTCTTGTTTAACTCAACAACAGTATTTACATCACCACTGAATTTATCCCCTTGGAATTCAATGAATTGCATAAGGCAATAGGCCTAATTAATAAAAAATCATTCCTAAGGGCATCAGTCCCAGGTTTGCTCTTGTCCATGGTTTCTGGCTCTCCTCTAGCCTTGCCCATACCTCTGTTTTACTTCCCCCTTTCTCCTTCTTGCTCCTTTCTCTCTGCCCAGCCTCCTACAAAACCATTCCCTATATCCTTCCATGTCATCACCTGCACCTGGGCCTCTTTCTGGTGCTACAAGTGGCCAATCCTTCTTTCCTTCAAATCCACTTTTTAAAGGGACCAACTCCAGGAAACCCCAAGTCCTCCTATACCTTCTGTAAATGAGAAATGCTGTCACACACACCAAGCAAAAATGAAAAGGCTGGTGCGCCAGAAACTTTCCTTTTTGAGCAATTGTCTGCCATACAATACCACCCTAATAAATGTCTGTAAACTTACTGAACACAGTTCTGTTCCAGCTGCAGTGGAGGCCTCACCTCCACTAAGCAACTGATTTTTTTTGTCACTACCACAATATGATCATTCAAGTCAGGTAGAAACAGCCTCTGGGGTATCCCAAGTGCTTTGTGCCTGAATAATTGTTTTGCTTGTCTATTTAGACTGCAAGGCTAAGAGCGTGACTTCCTCTGTGCTTTGGGCTGTGGCAGAGTGTAACAAACAGTAGCAGCAGCAGTAATTAGTGCTGTGCATGAGCAGGTCCAACAGCTGACTTGTGGTAAGTCAGGCTCATAGGCCCTCGGAACTCTGGGTAACCTGCTCCAACATTCTTTTGTCTTCACAGTGCCACCAAAGATCTACAATATCTCCTCGGATGTCACTGTGAATGAGGGCAGTAACGTGACTCTTGTGTGCATGGCTAATGGACGCCCCGAGCCTGTCATCACCTGGAGACACCTCACCCCAACGGGTAAGTCATGCAACATACTGCTTCTGCATGCACTGCTGGTAACCACAGGAGGGTTCATTCGTGTGTTTGGCAGCTGCAAAGAGGGGTAAAACCATATGATGAGCAATGCCTTTAAATGTATGGAGGGAATGTTGCACATTAGGCTGTACAGGACATAATTATCCGTTTTGACTCAGGGAACATTTTAAATGACATCCAGTAGGAGCTGAATATGCTTGACTCTCTGCTTGCATCTTAGGTGTTGACTTCATTTAGCTGCTGTAGTTTCTGCCACAGGGGAAGAGGGACTACATCCACTAATGGCAGAGAGGGAGGGGAGAAGATCTTACCCATCTAATAATAAATCCAGTAGGACCCTTTGAAAACCACCAGACTAGCTTCCGGCCCTTTTGTAGCAAAGGATCATGTGCTGACATGAGTCATCACATGTTACTTTCAGTCTTTGTAGACAACCCCTCTGCACCCCATTAAAGCATGGGATAGCAGAAAAGGAAGCCACGGTAAGACACAGAGCAAGCAAGAAATGAGACAGCTCTGTTCCATTATTAATTACTCCTTTGCTACTGCGGCACTTGGCAGTCTTGAAGAGAAAACATTCCTATCATTAGCTCCACTGACCTCATGGGGCAGACAGCTAGGGAATCAACAAGTCTCCAGGTTATTCATCCCTTGAAAATGTATCACTGGGAAGAGAACAGGACATATGTGCCTCTCATCCATTCCTCCCATTGCTTTTCTTTGAGGGGAGATGTTCTTCTCCCTTATTTATATCTAGCTCCTGGTTCCATTCCAGTCAATGGGGAAAAACTCCCATGGGAGCAGGATTGGCCCTTGAATATGGGATTTAAAACAAGGTATTGTAATGTTTGCTTATTGAGGAGGGCTGTGGGCTATCAACATGCCCCTTTTCCTGCTCCAAACTTAGGGGAGTGTAGATTGTACTCCACATTTCCTGTCTTCCCCATGGGTCAAATCAAAATCTGCCCATGTTAAACAGCATTGGGACAGCTGAAATTCAGACCCTTATTTTGTCCTTTGACCCAACTCTAACAGAAATGGGGGGGGGGGAGGAAAAATTCTGCTATGAAAAGGTAGAGGTGAGCACAGAGCTGGGAGGAGAGGGATTTCTTTGTGGTGTCATTAAGTGCCTGGTGTTTCTCTTCCATTATTGTCAATATTGAGCATGACTCTGCCACTAAAGTACGTAGAAAAATATGACCTAATTTTTTCTTTAATTAAGTTTTGTGTTTACAGTCTGCTAATTCGCAAGGGGCAATTTTACTATAAGATGCATTTCTTATTGAACCTTTGATCTCCTTGCTGTATCAGAATTTCTGTCCTCACTTCTCCTTCTATCTCTTTGTATTCAAGTGGGAGACATTTCCTTGTCATGCTCAGAGCGCTTTGTAGCATTGTTTGCTTTAACACGTGGCTATTTGTTCCCATGAAAATTTAATACAAGAGTTCCAGACTTCAGAGATACCGCCTGTGTCAGTGTTCAGAACCTATAGCAATAGGCACTTTTGATAACTAAAGACTGTGGATGGGTAGTTGCTTTATGCAGTTGATTAACTGTAGAGCCATACAATAAGGTGTACATTAGCATGTCCCTTTGCCTGCCTCACCTGTACTCTGCCTGCTGATCCACACTGGAATTACTTCTAATGTTCGCAGCCAATTGTTGGGCTTTCAAAGAGTAGCCATTAAAGCAACATCAAGGATAGATAGCAAAAGGTCCCCCCCATCTTTTCAAAAAATTTGGAATGGCGTCATTCTGAGAGGCAGGCGGAGCAATCCCAGTTGTCTGGCTCTCATTTAGGCCCTCATCAGTTCCTGTCTCAGCTAGTTCAACTTCTTCTTCTGCAGCCTAGGGGATTCACGTCTTGCCCCACCTCTGTCCACTCAGGGTATGTCTACACAGCAAAGTTATTGAGAAATAACAGCCCTTATTTCGAAATAACTTTCCTAGCGTCTACACAGCCAAACCAATATTTCGAAATTAATTCAAAATAGTGGAGGGCTTGTTTCGAATTTGGTAAACTTCATTCCATGAGGAATAACACCAATTCGAAATAGCTATTTCGAAATAGGTGCTGTACAGACACTTATTTCAAAACTAGCCAATTAGCCCATCATAAGACGGGATTTTCAGTTCTCTCCTCCATGTCGGTCTTCTCTCCTGAGCCTCCGGTCTCTTGCTCCGTCTCTCTCTCTCTCCTCCTCCTACTGCCTCCCCCTCTCTTTCTCTCAGCTCTCCTCCGCTTCCTGCCTCTCTCTCCGTCTCTCTCTTTCTCTTCTCCTCCCCCTCCTGCCTCTCACTCGGGGGACCACGGAGCCCAAACAGTCGCTTGCGCCACTTGCTCCCACACGGCGGCCTGGCTGAGCAGCGCAGAAGTCAGCCGAGCGCCATGGCGGGAGGCGAAGGGGGGTGGAGCGGTGATGTTCACGGCCGGGGGCAAGGCCTGCAGCTGCTATCACACCGCACGTCACCGCCCCGCCCCCATTTCCCTCCCGTCTTGGCGCTCGGCTGACTTCTGCACCACTTAGCCGGGCCACCGCGGGGGAGCAAGCGGCACAAGCGGCCATTTGGGCCCCGCACTCCCCATGCAGCACGGGCCACCCAGAGGGAACAGCCAGCAATTCAGCAATAGCACCTCCCAGAGAGAACAGCCAGCATTTCAGCGTTACAGACTCTCAGACACTGGGCTACTATATATTTCGAAATAGGGGGCCTACAGACTCAACCAAGAACACTCCTCTCCCTCTTACCCTCTCCGGTTTGGGCTACTATATATTTCGAAATAGGGGGCCTACAGACTCAACCAAGAACACTCCTCTCCCTCTTACCCTCTCCGGTGCCCTTAAAGGGTTTGACTCTGGCCACAGTGCCTGTGCCAGTCCCAAGCCTGCCAGCCCAGAGCCAGCAGTCACTGCCCCTGACCCAGTGGCCCCAAAACATGAGCCAGCAAGCCACTGGCAGCCAGCCCTCCACCACTCCCCA